AAAAAAAAAAAAAAAAAAACACCCGCACACTCCGCAACCGGCCTACTCCGCTCCGCGGCTCTTCCGAGCCCAGGATGGACCCGAAACGTCGTCGTCGTCGTCTTCTTCTCAAAGAACCGGCTTCAAAAGAGACGACACACAACACACACCCCTAAACCCCACCCGTAAACGCAAACTTCAAACGAAGAGGGAGTCTGTCTGTGTCTTCTCTCCTTCTGCGGCCTGTTTCCTTCAAGGCAGCCACAAGCAATCCTTCCTACAAACCCCGCTTTCGGCGCCCCGACTTGGTAACCTGGCACAACCAGAACATAAACTCCAGCTGGCTGTCACTGCCTATGCGGAGTCACGGTCTGCAGAACAATCCGACAAGTACCGGAGCGGACAAAAATGCAGAAAGAGCAACGAGTCCATCCTGGAGTGCTACGAGTATAGCATCAGCAGCAGGCGACCCTGTTTCAGCCTTCAGGCCTTACGCCTTACGCTGGGGTTCCAGACAAACCCAAGCAAAGGCCGAGCACACCCGAGGCAAGAGAGGGGCAGTGAAAAGAAGTCACAGAAACAAGGCTTCTGTTTGAGGTCTGAGGCATCTGCAGCGTCTCGCTCATCCAGGGCAATCTCCAAAGCCTGCAGGTCCTGGCAACATAAAGTTTAGAAAGGGTAGAGCTCTTTGACTCAAAAACAGTTGAGGTAATCACCTCCAGCCAGAGATGTGAAGGCTTCTTCTTCTGCAGATCTGAGAGCTCTAAGGCCTTCAAAGCATACGAACGCTAATGGCAAGTAAGGCTAAGTAAGGGCTTACCTACAGCTAGCATCCTGCACTCAGTAATTTGCTTAGTAGGAAAGGGGCACATGGCTTGCCAAGCACAAATTCATTGAACCAACCAGGCCGTTCGGATTACTTCTTTACTTCCGCAAGTCGCCCCAGAATGGCTGCAATCAGCCTCATATGAACAGCTCTGACGCATGACCCAAGACACAAATATGATGGTGTTTTCTTCCTCATTGTTGTACAGCAGAATTTCGTGAAGTCAGGGCCTTCTCTTATCATGACTGTTTTGACTTGCTGCATTTCCTTGCCTTGATCTCGTGCTCCTGCATCAACCTTGCCACCTTCTCAGCTGTCAGCGTGGAGATCGGCATGCCAACGAGATACTCGAAGTCCCTGGCTGATACTGGCTGGGACTTCCAGAAAAGAATAATTGCACCACGACAAGCCCTCAAGCCCTCGGCCTCACAGCTTTCTTGGTCAGGTCTGCTGATTCCTCCTCCTGAAGCTAGAAGGTATCTATCTTTAAACGCAGATCCAATAGGTGATAGTGAAAAGCCCGACAATCATTTTCTGAAACAACCATTCACGGGATAACTGAAACAACACGATACAAGAAATATCCTGAATTGCCAGCTGGATCCAGTCATAACTTGGCAAATCAAATCCTCTTCGCTACCATCCTCGTTGTCCTTCTCTGCCTCCTGCAAAGCGCCATCTGCAGCTTCAGCAGATTCAAGATGCTTCAAGAATTCTGTCTTTCACGCTGGACGACGTTGCTTGCTCCTCTCTATGTACAGCATCTATCCTTCGTCCTTCGGAGATCTTCGGATTGGAGCAGCTCTCGCTGGGAAGGTTCCGCGGCATGCGGAATGAGCCCATCTTTTGGGTCTGCGATTGGTATGTACAAATGCTACACTATGTCACACGCCTGCGATTTTCTGGCAGGTGAAGTCATGCAGGCAACAGCAGAATTGGGCGTTCAGGTCGCACCCGTGGCACCTTGTGCACGACGTGAATGAACGGCCTGAAGCAAAGTATTCGTGCTTCTGACAACTCAGAAAGCGTGTGAAGGGTGAACGACTTGTGCACACTCGCGTGAGAAAGCGTGAGAAAGTGGCACCTTCATAAACAGCTTGCCGTCGGTCAGGTCTGTCACGGGTGTTCCGAAAGCCAATGCCTTGGCGGCTTTGGCGGCTTGGCTGCCCACAGGCCCTCTGTCTCCTTTCCGTCTCCTAATTTCCGAGGAGCAAGAGCAAGTACGTGAAGAAGCTCGGAGAACCAAGCGCCCGAGCGGAGCAGGACCTGGCACCACTGGCGTATCTACTTCCAAGCGCTGAGCTGAGCAAACGGACTCGCCTCGGCCAGCGTCCGAGAAAGTCGGTGAAGCCAGTGGAACTTAAAAGGTGTCGAGAGCGCCTGGCTGCGAGGCTCCCCACTGCAACCCCCAGCAAAGCGCGCAGTGCAAAGCACATGCGTTTTTCAGAAGGCGGGGGGCGGCCTGCTTCACCGCTTTTGGCTTTGCGGCTTCCTCGGGAGCCTGCAAGGAAGGCCTGGGAGCGAGAGCAAAGAAATTCGACAAAAAATTCAAGTTATAGAATCTTTGAGTCTTCGGAGCTCTTGCTCTCTTCTTCGGAAGAGATTTGTGGCAGTTTTTTGTGACCCCTTCTCGGATGTGGTGTGCAATCTGGCCGGGCCTTCGCCCGAAGGGTCGCGGTGCCTCGGTCGAAAGCAAGAAATCTGCGCAGACGGAGAAGGAAAGAGACACTTAACTTGGGGTGCGAAGATGTGCGAACCTCCATGCAGCTGCGACTAAGCGCGGTTACTGCCTAGGGAGTGGAAAACCAACACGACCGAGACGGCCAAACCAAACCTTTTAAAGGACCTAGAAGGCTGGTTGAGTTAACGTTCCTCATAGTTCCTCAATGTGAGCCAATAAAAAATAGGCACATAAATCTAATGGAAATAAGGAAGCTTCCGCCCGCGAGCTTCCGCGGACCTTCCGCGAAACCTCCGCGAAGACTACTGGCAGGTTTTCCGACGCCGTGCTTCGCAGGGCTCTTCGAGGACGTTTTCGTCTAAGGTGCTTCCGCGGCTCTTCCGCGAAAGGGATTTCTAGTCTTTAGCGTTATCCGTCCAAAGCCTGAGCGCACATTGAGCGCGAACTTATTTAGAAGGGCGGGGTTGGAGCTGGCCTTAGAAAGTTCAAGCCAAAGGCGGTCACTCGGTAATTTATTCAAAGGGGGAGTTGGGCTGGTTGTTCTTGGGTCAAACCAGAGGCGGTCGCTCGGGAATTAGTACTGCGGTAAAAAAAGGAGTAGCTAAGTAGTCCCAAACCCATCCCATAGCTTCCGCGGGCTTCCGCGGAGCTTCTGCGAAATCCGTCACTTCATTAGTTCCAGGGACCCGATCCCGGGAAAGTATCTCCGTGGTGGCTCCCTTGTTGCCAAAACATAAAACAACTCTAGTGACAAAGTGCGTGGGATTTACCGGCTGCGGCGTCTCCAGCGCCCTGCCCAGAATTCGTTAGGGCTTTGCAAGTACATGGGGATCTTCATTTTAGGGTTTAGGGTGTTGGGGGGAGCCACATTACGGCTGAGTTTATTCTGAAGTGAAGCACCTTCCATCTCCATGAGCTTTTGCTCGGGATTCGGCGGATTGAAAAAAGAGCTTCCGCAAGCCAAGTGCTTCCGCGAAAGCTTCCGCGATCT